TTTAGTGGCAGAAAGAGGAAGGGTGTGTGGTAACACCGTCTTTTTCACAGATGTGTGTGGTTTCGTCTCTGTCTGTCACTGTGCATTTGTGCGTGTGATCTGATGTGTATTTCCATTTATAGATGCCTTCTCTGTAGATATCGACCGGCTATATGCATCACTTGTTCCTCTAATAAACACATTTACTGTTAGGCCTGTGCAATATGACGATGCCGACAAAATAAAGTCTGTTGTTTCATTTTATACTCTATTATTTATTTACTTACATTGTTTTTAGCAATGCACTCAAATGATGTTTGCTGCTTGTTCAATTTACTTATTTGAAATGAGCTTGAAACAACACAATTCTTATTTTTTTTTGACAACTCAATTGTTTTTTGTTTAATCCACTTAATTTTCTAAAAACTAATAATTCGCCCACTGAAGCTAAGCAGGGCTGCGCCCGGTCAGTACCTGGATGGGAGACCACATGGGAAAACTAGGTTGCTGCCGGAAGTGGTGTTAGTGAGGCCAGCAGGGGGCGCCCAACCTGCAATCTGTGTGGGTCCTAATGCCCCAGTATAGTGACAGGGACACTTCCCAATTCCAATTGGCTTCATCACTCTGTCTCCTCTCCACCTATCAGCTGGTGTGTGGTGTGTGATCTTGCGCAAAATGGCTGCGGTCGCGTCATCCAGGTGGATGCTGCACACTGGTGGTGGATGAGGAGATTCCTCCCATTGTGTAAAGAGCTTTGAGTGCCCAGAAAAGCGCTATATAAATGTAAAGAATTATTATTATTATTATTAATAAGTTGACTTAGTTCTTTCATGTTGTCCCAACACAAATCCATTGTGTGGAGCCCAGTGTTTTTTACAGTATAACTTTTCATCATTTATGTGAGCGCATTATTACACTCAGTTATTCTAATGCAGACAGAAATATGAATAACAACAATGTGAGAAAGTTGCATTGTTGAAAATACAATGTTTTTTTAAAACATTTTTTGTGATCATTTTCTCAAGCTTAAACAAAACATTTTGTACAATCAAGGTTGTAATCCCCCCCCCTTTTTTTTTTTGAACCTTGCCGCCAAAATGAATTAGCAAACAATTGAACTTAAAATACAATTACAGCCGGAATAGATAAAAATTAAGCAAAATGGAAAATATTAATAATAATAATAAATAAATAAAAAGAATAAAATTATAAAAAATAAATAAATTAAATAAAAAATTTACTTTACAGTATTGTATACATTTACAATTATACTATATTATATGTGAAAATAATTGAAATAAATATTTACCTACAGTACATGATAATATAAATCAATAATCTGTTACATAAAGTGGTCTTCTACATAAAACCAAACCATATTGGTGGTCACAATTAAACCTGTTTGCACAGATTTCTCAGTTAAAGGAGATAGTCTTCTTTTTTTTAAAACATGTGATCATAGGTTGCCATGTTTCATACTTTTTTTGGACAGATCCCGCAAACGAATGATAATTTCCAAGAAATTTCGTGTCTCTCCCCTCCCGTCCTCAAATATGTCACAAAGCCTTCTCCAATGCATCACCCCTGCTCTTCAAATATGTCACGGCCCTGCTCCCCTATTGTATCGTAGTTAGAAATTCCAGTATGGTGACAGCATTAGACTTAAATGCTCACTGTAAAAATGTCATTGTATTTTGGCGGTAAAAATAAGTTGCATTATACTGTGAGCATCCCAGTACCAATCTGGCAGAACGTGCATTGAATTTTTAGGTCACGAAGGCAGGTTCACCCCAGGAGAAATGTGATGGTGACTTTATAACAGGAGTATATAATATCACACTAACTTTATCCCATAGAGGAGGAGGATTTTTATTTCTCGTGGCTTTTCTTGAGCACACACTCCTCTCATTCTGCTCCCTGTGCTTTGAAGTGCATTTAAACACCACCATTAATCAGTATCATCACTGTATTAAATGCTACTGAGCATGTAGTGTGATTATAGAAATATGCAGGTGGCAGATGATGCACATGCATAATGGCTTTTAAATGTTTAATAAACATACCAGCGCATTTTAGAAAGTGCGTAAATGACTTTAATCGTCTTCTAACAACTCTTCTCATTACTGAAGTTTGCATGCACTTTAGGGATGAGCGATAATTGCAAACAGAATCTATTTTTAAAGACGTAAAACAAGGCTTCATGACTTTACACTTTCTCTCTCTTTTGCTCTGACGGCTTAAGAGGCTTAGGCCATTAAGACATTTCCGCTGTTTTTTCCCATGAATTTCTTGGGAGGGAGTGTGTCTGTGACTTTTTTTTTTTAACACTGGAACAGCGATAGAAATGTTTGACTACCCTAGCAAGTGCACTTGAACTAGGGAGCTGATTAAGACATGCCCTAATTCATCTTGTGTGAATGCATAATGTTTATCTGAAAACACAAGAGCAGGACTGGCATTGATGCACACTAATAGGAGTCATTAGATGGATAGTTCACGCAAAAATGTTAACGCATGTTAAATTTACTCATCCTGAAGTCATCGGTGATTGCTGTTTTCTTCATGAATAAAGATTTTTAGCTGGAATGTGGTCTTCGGTGTTTCATTTAATCCAAGTTAACAGCTTTCAGAACTTTGAAAGTAAAACAAACACACTCAGGTGAAATAAAATCAATACCCTCGACTCCTGATGATACATTCAATTCAATTCAATTCAGCTTTATTTGTATAGCGCTTTTACAATGTAGATTGTGTCAAAGCAGCTTCACATAAATGGTCGTAGTAACTGGAACAGTGTGGTTCAGTTTTTAGTGTTTAAGTTCAGTTCAGTTTAGCTCAGTTCAGTGTGGTTTAAAGTCATTACTGAGAGTCCAAACACTGAAGAGCAAATTCATCGATGCGTAGCTCTACCGATCCTGAACCATGCATGCCAGAGGCGACAGCGTGTAGTAGACCAGTGTAGTGATAATAAATGTGATTTGATTTTGATTCTGTCATATGGTGAGGGTCTAAAAAATACATTTGCAATGTAATTTTTTATACATGCAAATGTGTCTCCCCTACTCTGAATCATGGATCAGTCCAGCAGCCAAATCAGCTCAAGATTTAGTTTTAAAAACAAAATGATTATTTTTAGTTGTGAATTAATTTTAAGAAAACAAATCAGTTAAATTGTGTAGATTACATTAAGATGCAAATGAGGAGTGATAAAATACATTAAGCTAAAAATAAAAGTAAAAATAAATGCATAAAAATACAAAGGGTGCTGAAATTGCTTGGGTGCCCAAATCGATAAATCCACCCCTGCACCCATTAGCTACTAATATATTCCTCTGAGTTACTTTCCAAGTGACAGTTTTTATACCTTTATTTCTGAGAGTGTATATGGAGGAAACCTGGCCTGTGGACCCTCGGAAGGTGAAAAGTGATGAGCAAGCATGTGTGACATACCACACGAAACCTCTTCCCCCATAAACCATGGCTCTATGTAAGCATCTGGGCCTGTTTTGATAGGACGGCGGGTTCGGGACACAGAGGGGTCCTGCAGTTTGGTTTTCCTGCGTATTTGGAAGTATTTCAGCGGGCAGGGGGAGGTGCGGAAATTCCTGTCTTGCGTAAAAGCAATGTCGCCGAGTCCACATACTCGCACACTAATCTCATAAACACAAACCGGCCCCCATAGGATACAACAGACCCCACTGCGACTTTGAACACATGTGCAACGAGTTTAAGTGATTTTTAAATTGAAATCAAAGGCTGCAGTGGAGGGATGGGATTATGGGAAGAGGAATCAAAGGGAAGAAAAGCGAAGCAAAACAGTAACCTGATGGTTTTGCGTCATCTTGACTCATCTGTAATGCACAAGGACAGCAGAAGTGAAGGGAGATGGATGCATTGCTCAAACCGTCCACTGTCTGGATGTTTTCTGCCCTCTAGTTTGAAAACCAAAACAGTGAAGAATGTTAAAAAACTGCATGTCTCACAGCCTGATGATCAGTTCTTAGCATTTATGAGTAAGACAGTTTGAAAATGAATAATTCTGGGTAATTGGTGCTGCCGTTGTTGCTAGAAGGTATACAGCTGTGATCTAAAGTTAATGAGAAATATTTATAATATTTATTAAATTACACATTAATCATATTTTATTAGCTAGATGGCATACAGCTGAGGATACGCACGTCAATATAGCAAAATCTAATAAAATCGTAATTTATTGGATTATGCTATATTGACGTGAGGATCCGCGGCTGTATCCCATCTAGACTTCACCCTCTCCTGCATTGCAGTGAAGTCTAGATGGGATACAGCTGAGGAAATTCGCATCAATATAGCAAAATGCTTATCACACTGTACAACAAATAATATATTTACAATACTGTGAGGTTTGGGTTTAGGGTTGGGGTAGGGCTAGACACTAATAAAATACGATTATTGCGTAATTTAATAAATAATATTAACACTTCTCGTTAATTTTCCGATCACGGCTGCATCCCATCTAGCTACAACCACAGGAAAGATTCGAGCTTCTGGATTTACGTCATGTTTATAAAAAAATTTCTGCCGAAATACATAAAGGTAAGCAACTGTTTATCTGGGAGAGGAATAGAGAAATATTCTAGTAACATAAACAGTGTGTATCTTACGTAATTGAAGCACACCATACTGATTTATTGAAAAATAAATATTATTGCCATCTTCGTAGACATCCACGTGTAGTTTACAAACCTTAAATGTTATGTTTTGTTTGTAGTTATGTGTATTTGAATGTTTGAATCCTAAATGAAATGTAATGTTTATTTTCTATGTCATAATCTGGGCCTTAATCACAACAGCATAAAGAATAGCAAACATAGTAGTGTTTCAGGATGAAATAATTTATTTATTATCGTTGAATATTCAGTTTTATTTCATGCAAATGAATGCAATCACCATTTGCTGTTGACTTTAAATATACAGGCTGATTGTTATTCTTGTGTTGTTCTGTTGCCTGAAAGTTATTGTCTGCTTTTCCTTAATTGCAGGACTTACAGCCAGAAGAAGGCCACTCTGGAGAGAGATTACGCACAGGTGAGAATACGCTTTCCGTCTTTCCTGATGATTATGATTATGATGATGATATCAGAGGGTTTGAGTGTGTTTTGTTGATTACAGCTCTGTTGCGTTGATTAATGTCACACTGAAGCCATTGCAGATGTTCACTACTCTTATGCTCTTACAGCCCAAAACCATTGTCTATTACTATGGGACCACTGGAAATCTGTGGCTTCAGTAGGTTATTCAATAGGAGTAGTTCACCCAAAAATGAAAAGTCCATCATCATTTACTGATCCTATTCTTGTTTCAAACATTTTAAAGAAGAACTTTTAAAGAAAGCTTGAAACCTGTAACCATTGACTTTCATAGTATTTGTCTGTCCTATTATGGAAGTCAGTGGTTGCAAGTTTTCAGCTTTCTTCAAAGGGTCTTCTTTTGTGTTCGACAGAAGAAAGATACTTGAGTTGAAACAAGTCAAGGGTCAGTAAGTGACAGAGGTTTTATTTTTGTGCGCTAATGAGACAGTTTTTTTTTTAGAGAATTTGTCAACAGATTTGAGCTAATCACTGTGAACCTGGTTGAGTTGAGCACAAATCCTGCCAGAAGTCTTGTCCAAACTTCTGTCGCTGTTTGAATGTTGGAAAATCGCACCGGTTTGGTTCCAACTAAAGCTTAGCAGTTCATGAAGTATGATTTTTTTATTTATTATTATTATTTTTAAATGCTTCTTTTTGGTACTAATTACACGTTTTATAATGTGCTTTTTGGTTGTGGTGAATCCTTCTGTTTTGTCAACCTCTTTCCTGAATTGATTGCTGGTTCTTTAAGCAGGTGTATGTCTATGAAAAGGCCATTTGCATAAGAACGTGAAACAGGTTTATTTTTCTACCTATGAAAGCAGGCTGATTGAATGAAGGTGTTTAAATGTTTCAAATCCTATTTACACATGCGTTTAAAGTTATCCACTTATTAAATATTACTAATAAAATTCTAATATCAGATGTAACTTTGCTATATATCCAGGTCTGATGGGCTTCTGTCTTGTAGTTTACATTAGGAAATGGGTTGTGGTGTTTTTTCTCAATTGTTATATTGCTTCATCATGCACTTCAGTTTGTCCTCCAGACTGCGTTATGTTAATTTTATATAACATAAAATGATCATTTTTTATTTATTGTGAGAAGCTGACTGTATGTTCACACGGAAATCGGTGAGAGCGTCAAAGTAGCCGGAAGTCATTCATTTTGAATGGGAGCCAGCGACAATAAGCGATGAGGAGCATCGCATGTTCGCCGGTGTGGGCGTCGAGGAGAGTTCAAGTCAACTTTATGGTTATGAGCCTATGATGTGGTTCGGAGGCAAGCAATCAGAATGTAGAAGCCCACTGCTTGAGAGGAGTCACAGATTTGTAAACTTTGGTTCCGACCACAGTTGTTCGCAAGGGTTTGATTATTGCGGTTGCTGGATTTCCAATTATTTGCAGTGTTTTCTTACAGGAACGTGCATTTAAAAAGTTTCTGGCGAGTTACTGATGTGCGTTAATGTTATATATATATATTTTTTTTTTACTTTAAAAAGCGGGAATCTCATGTACAGTACAAAACAGCTGCCTCAGGATATTTCAGACATATGCACACATTGGATAATTAAGTGCAGCAAAGCCACAACAAAAGCAATTTGATTTCCCATTGTTAAATGAATTTGATAAAAGTATGGAACATTTTCACGCTAGAAAGCATGTTTATGCAGGAATGTAACTGATATGATATGCTGCAACGGCCCCTTTAAATACGAGATTAACGTAGCAAATTTTGACACTCTCTTTGCCGGAGCTGAAGGCGTTGTCGCAAGGGCGGCCAGAGCGACCTTAGACGCTCTTGTCTCTCACCACCTTCGGTATGAACTTAGGCACCGTTTACACTAATGCGTTTTCGTTTTAAAACGCATACGTTTTTCTTTGGTTACGCCATCCGTCCACACTACACAAGAGTTCTCGAGCACTGAAAACGGAGCATTTTGAAAACGCTGGAGAGGCCGTTTTCATTCTGAAACGCTGCTGCTCCGTCTTAGTGTGGATGAGGAAAAATGGAGACATCTGAAAATGGAGGCGGGGCTGTTAAGATTCACTACCTGATTGGGGCTTTTGTGTCATCGCGTATCCTTCCCTTATTGGTCAAGCCTCTATCACTTGACTATAACACATGGCTTCAACGCTACCGGAAGACAGTACTGTAAACAACAACATGGGTGTAGAAATGGGAGCGTTGTTTGCACTATTGTCTGTTTTAGGCACCATTGTGCAGTTATTTATTTGTTACGTTTAGTAACAACTCGACCTCGTCGTCTGTCCACAAAAATACCTCTCTTGCTTTCTTTGCCATCGCGTTTAATGTTCAACCGGCGTTTGTTGACCAACAATAACCATCTTCCATCTTCATCCTCCTGCTAATGTAGAGGTTGGACTGAAGCAGCTGATGTTCATTTACACTGAGGAAAGGCAGAGGGTTGCTGGAGAACTACTGAGAGATTTCAGCTGCTGTCTGGACTTTCACTGCTCTTCTACACCTTCCTTTCTTTATGTGTTCAGTACTTTCTTCCTGCATCTTTTCATTTTATTACACAGAACTTCATTTGTATTGATTTTTTTTTTTTTTTTTTTGCATATATATATTTCTTTGGTTGTTACTAACATCCGGTAAAATTTTTAAAGTCAACAGCACCTTTAGAAATTTGTTTTCTGAGAAAAAATGGTGATGTGTTTAATATTTATTTCCACCACTTTATGTAATTTTAAACTATTAATTGATTTAATTTATACAAAAACACTGTATTATACTGTATATCAGGATATGAGATGATTTATTTAGTCATATGAGATTTTTGTCATATTTTCCAACCTTACGTATGATCATTATTACCAGGTCATTCATATTTCACAAGTGCACTTTTTGCATTTATCATTCATTTCGACATCAGACATGAGTCTGCTGCATTTTATCACCAAGATAATCTTTTTTTTATTGCGCCGGCAATATCTCAGTGCTTGTCAAGAAGATATGTACTGTGGTTTCTTCTGGCAGTGTTTAAACTGAGCTGCACTTGAAGCTGAAGCTTTTCCAGACACTCTCACAGGTTAACACAATGTTCTTTTTAGCCAACCGAAATGTGTCTGGTCTTAGTACACCTCTGCATCTCCTACTGTTTGAAGTTTATCTGTGCAGTGTTAAATAGGGGTGTTAAACTGCCAAGAACGTAGGGCTGCTCGATTTTGGGAAAAATCATAATCACGATTATTTTGGTCTTAATTGTAATCACGATTATTCCAAACGATTACTGTTGAAGTCAAAATTATTAGCACTCCTAAGAATTGTTTTTAAATAAATATTTCCCAAATGATGTTTAACAAAGTAAGGAATTTTAACAGTATTTCCTCTAATATTTTTTTCTTCTGGAGAAAGGCTTCTTTGTTTTGTTTTGGCTAGAATAAAAGCAGATTTTAATATTTTAAAACCTCTTTTAAGGTCAATATTATTAGCCCCTTTAGGCAATCTATATTTTTGATTGTCTGCAGAAGAAACTACTGTTATATAATGACTTGCCTAATTACCTTAATTAAGCCTTTGAATTTGAATGTTTGTATTTAAAAAAAATATCTACTAAAATATTATGAGCTGTCATCATAGCAAATATAAAATTAATCAGTTATTAGAAATGAATGATTAAAACTATTATGTTCAGAAATCTTCTTTCCATTAAACAGAAATTGGGGGAAAAGGTTGCTAATATTCAGGAGGGCTAATAATTCTGCATATAAATAAACTGCATATATTATTTTCCTCCTTGCAAAGGAAAGAGAAATAAATACAATAGAATAAAAATATGAAACAAACTGTGCTTTTAGCATCTTCACCGTAAGAAAAACACTTTAGCTACAAAAGTCTTCAGTCAAGAGCAGAGAGGGATTTTCTCGTTGTTTTATTAATCATGATAAAACAGGCGGCAGCTATGCTCTGTCACTTTAATGGTTTCTCTTTCACGTGTCTTTTGATCCTCCTCAACTCGTTTGTTTATTACACAATGAGGGTTAATATGAATAATCACTAATCACCGTGTTTTGACACCTATTTGAACATTAAAGCGTTCGCGTTAATGACTTTAGATGTGTGTGCTCTCTACTCGTCACAATGTGCGAATGAGACCAAGTGCAGACTGCATGCTTCTGACTGTCTGCGCGCCGCACATACACAAGCATGCGGTCTTTCGCGCTTTTAAGACCAACAAGTGAGGACAACTGGAAAGGGGGCCGTAAATAATGGAATAATCGTTTATCTCGATTAATGGTTTTTTTATAATCGTTAGAAGCCAAAATCGAAATCGAATTTTCGATTAATTGCACAGCCCTACAAGAACGCGCACACAATAGATGTCTGTACCTACAATGTCAGCTATATATATATATATATATATATATATATATATATATATATGTGTGTATGTATGTATGTATGTGTGTATATATATATATATATATATATATATATATATATATATATATATATATATATATATATATAAATTACAATTCTCTCCTCCTTTTTTTTTTTTGCTTATGTAAAAATGTTTCAATATGTGATTTAAAAGCCACAATGTGATCTGAGTTGTGTGTGTTGTGGTCTTTTGCATGACTAATATTATCATGTGTTAAAAAAAATGAATGTTGACTTTTGTCAGCACGCAAACGTTACATCAAACCGGCAGAATGAATGCACTGATCCTGAGATTATATCCCGCAGATTATTAACCCATTGGATTAGGAGCTCACATTCTGTGCACGTCATGCAAACAGCCTCAAGAAAACTGCATTTGAGACTATTTAGTGCACTTAATAAGACAGTATTATGGTGCACAAGATTAGACAGCTGTATCAACCTGTAAAGATTTCGCTATGGGGTTTATGCTGCTGTAGACGTATTTGCATGGATGTTAGCTTTCAAATAGAAAGAGGAAAATAATCAAATGAGATGCTCGTGTTG